ACACACACACACACACACACTCTCTCACACACACACACACAGGTTTGACGTGTGATCTTGTGTCTGCAGTGGGCGCTGCTGATGGATCCTCAGGTGTGGCTGGACGCTGCGACGCAGATCTTCTTCTCTCTGTCTCTGGCGTTCGGGGGACTCATCGCCTTCTCCAGCTACAACCCCAAAAAGTACAACCTGCCAGGAAAAATAATTCACATTCATCCTAATGTTCTGTTAGAATATTCTGTAACTTTGCAAAAAGGTTAATTTGTTAACATCAGTTAAAAACATTGGTAACACTTTACAATAAGGTGTCATTTGTTAACATTAGATAATGTATTAATGAACATGAACTAACAATGAACAATGCATTTATTACAATATTTATTAATCTTTGTTAATGTTAGTTAATAAAAATACAGTTGTTCATGGTTTGTTCATGTTAGTTCACACTGCATTAACTAATGTTAACAAACACATTTTTTTATTTTAATGCTTTATTAAATGCTGAAATTAACATTAACTAATATTAATAAATGCTGTAGAAGTATTGTTCATTCTTAGTTAATGTTAACTAAAGTAGTTAACTAATGTTAACTAATGAACCTTATTGTAAAGTGTTACCAAAACATTAGTTAAAATGAACTAACATTTAAACCTCTAAAGAATTTATTCATCTTAGTTAAACGTTACAATCAAAGTTTGCATCTGTCAGTATTATTTAATGGACCTGAACATTAAATAATAATGAACAGATGTGTTTTTATTAACTAACGTTAACAAATATTAAGAAATATGTATAAATAAATAAAAGAATACATATAGTAAATAAAAATATAAATAAATACATTAAAAGTTAATTTCAATTATAAAATTATAATTTCAATTATAAATATAAAAATATATTTACTCAGCAAAATATATATTACATAAATTGCAATACTATACATATATATATACATACATATAAAAACACCTAGAACCAGCAACAAAATATCAATATAAAAAGACCTGGACGTCTATGGAGGAAAACAGTGCTGGATGATCGGAGGATCCTCTCCATGGTACAGAAAAACCCTTTCACAACATCCAGCCAACAGAAGAACACTCTCCAGGAGGCTTGGAGCAGCTCATGATCAAAGCACAGCATCATCTGTGAAGCATGGAGCAGTGTGATGCATGAGCTGCATGGCTTCAGTGGCTCTGGGTCACTGGTGTTTAGTGATGATGAGACAGAAGACAGAAGCAGCCGGATGAACTCTGAAGTGTGTAGAGATATACTCTCTGCCCAGATTCAGTCAAATGCAGCAAAGCTGATTGAGCGGCGCTTCATAGTACGAATGAACAATGACCCAAAACATACAGCAAAAGCAACCCAGGAGTTTTTGAAGGTAAAGAAGTGAAAAGAAAAGTCAATCTCCTGATCTCAACCCGATTGAGTTGCATTTCACTCGCTGAAGACAAAACTAAAGACAGAAAGAGCCACAAACACACAACAACTGAAGTCAGCTGCAGTAAAGGCCTGGCAAAGCATCACAAAGAAGAAACCCAGTCTCTGTTGATGTCCATGAGCTCCAGACTTAAGGCAGTCAATGCCTGCAAAGGATTCTCAACAACATATTAACTTACGATTATATTTATTTGTTCAATTACATCTGAGCCCCTGAAAATGGGGGGATTGTGTATAAAAATGATTTGTAATTCCTAAGCATTTTATGTTTTATTTTTGTTCAACACCTTGAATTAAAGCTTAGAGTCTGCACTTCAATCACACCTCGATTGTTTTATTTCAAATCCACTGTAAAAGGCAAAAGTGTGCAAATACTTCCGGACCTGACTGTGTATATGTTTGCTCCAGGAATGACTGTGAACGGGACACTCTGGTTGTTGGGATCATTAACAGCGCCACGTCTCTCTACGCTTCCATTCCCATCTTCGCCATCCTGGGCTTCAAAGCCACGGGCAACTTCAACTCCTGCATTAACAGGTGAAGCACAGCAAACTCAACCCGTGCGTTTATTATGCATGAACACACACCTGCTAGAAGGGCTATAATGAGAGGTTTTTAATGGTGTTTCATTCATTCCGCTGCAGTAACATCTTGGATCTGACCAACGCTTTTGACGTCGCCGAAAGAAACATCACGATCGAGAACTACGAGAGCTGGTTAACGCATCTGAACACAACCGATCCGGACAAAGTCTCCAGTCTGAACCTCAAACACTGCGACCTCCAGAACTTTATGGACCAGGTAAACGATTGCTCGCTAAAGCAATAAGCCCCGTGAAGCCGTGGTTTACAGTGAATTTATAACAGCTAAGTGGCGTTGTTAGGTACGACGCGAAGCGGTGCTTATTGCTTTTATAAAACGGTTATTCCATATACGTAGTAAGGTTTCACAAAATAAAACAGAGCAAATAAAGTGTAATGATATTAATAAAAACAGTATTCTTCCACCAAACAATGTAGCTCCTCAGAAACAGTTGTGGTTGCAACAAAGTGGTTGCCGAGCAACAGACAAACGTAAACAAAGGTGTATGTTACTTTGTAGAGTCATTTACAACAGCTTTGAACGCGGCTCAGCCAATCAGAATCAAGGACCGGAACTCTCCGTTTTATAATTAATCATAAACAACAGCACAGAAAAACAGCAGTGTTTGAAAGTCAACTGAGCTGATTCCTGAATCATAAAGCTTATTCAATTACTTATTTGGCTTGTAAACCCCTTCAGAACAGGAAGCTGTGATACATTTTATTTTTCAGGATGATTAGAAAGTTCAAAAGAACAGCATTTATTTACAATAGGAATCTTTTGTATCATTATACACTTCTTTACAGTCACTTTTCATCGATTTAATGCATCCTTGATGAAGAAAAGCATTAATTTCAGTACGTACCTTGGTCTTGAAGATTTACAATTAATAATTTTTTTTTTTTATTAATAGCGTTAAATTACTTTTTTTTTTTTTTTTTAAATGTGACCATAGGACAATATTTGGCTGAGATACAACTATTTGAAAATCTGGAATCTGAGGGTGCAAAAAAATCTAAATATTGAGAAAATTATCTTTAAAGTTGTTCAAATTAAGTTCTTAGCAATGCATATTACTAATCAAAAATTAAGTTTTGATATATTTACTGTAGGAAATGTACAAAATATCTTCATGGAACATGATCTTTACTTAATATCCTAATGATTTTTGGCATAAAAGAAAAATGGATAATTTTGACCCATACAATGTATTGTTGGCTATTGCTACAAATATACCCCAGCGACTTAACACTGCTTTTGTGCTCCAGGGTCACATATTACTTGGAAAAAAAGTGAACATTTCAAAATACAAAAAAACACAAATAAAAAAATAAATGTAAATATAAAGTTGAAAAAAAAAAAAAAAAGATAAAATTAAATGCAATTAAAATATAAATTTAAAAAATTGATAAAAATAAAACAAACTAATAATACTAAAAATGCTAAATTAACATCCACTCAAAACAAAAGGCTGGTGGTCTTAAAAGTACTTAAACATAAATAATAAATAAAATAATTAATAAATCATTTTAAAATAAAAACACAAAAATCTAAATTACAAATTAAAGTTTAATTAACAAAAAAATTTGAATTTTACTAAAAACAAAAAAAATTTGAAAATGCAAAAAAAAATTCATAAATGTAAAATTAAAACAAATAGCTTGAATAAAATCAAAAATAATTAATAAAAATGCTAAATTAACTACGATTATACACAAGATGGGGCTTTGTTTCTTAAAACTATGAGCTCTAATTAAAGCTGATCGTGTGCATTGGATGAAATAGCGCTGTGTTAATCGAACCGAAAGAGCCGTCCGAAACCTGTATTCGTGTCATGCGAAAGAATCTGACAGCTCTCTCTTACCCAGAGTGCTTCAGGAACAGGGCTGGCGTTCATCCTGTTCACGGAGGCCGTGATCGAGATGCCGGGCTCGCAGGTGTGGGCCGTGCTCTTCTTCATCATGCTCTTCAGTCTGGGTCTGTCCTCGATGTTCGGCAATCTGGAGGGAGTCCTGACGCCGCTGCTGGACCTGCACCTGGTGCCCAGATGGATGCCCAAAGAGCTCTTCACAGGTAAACGTGCAAACGAGGTCCTTCTCGTGTGCTAACGAGCAGCGCTGGGGAAAGTTACTTTTAAAAGTAATGCATTACAATATTGCATTACTGCCTAAAAAAGTAACTAATTATGTTACTTAGTTACGTTACTTTTTAAAGGAACACTCCACTATTTTTGAATATAGGCTCATTTTCCAGCTCCCCTAGAGTTAAACAGTTGAGTTTTACTGTTTTTGAATCCATTCAGCCGATCTCCGGGTCTGGCGGTAGCACACCCGGAGATCGCCTGAATGGATTCGAAAACGGTAAAACTCAAGGGAGTTGGAAAATGAGCCTATTTTCAAAAATAGTGGAGTGTTCCTTTAAATCTGGGCGGGGCTTGCTTGTTTGTTTTTAATATAAAATAAGTTCCTCTTTTACAAACGTAAAAGCCCTTTCACACCAAAAGTGAACTGAATATGGCTAAAGCTGAAGGAAATGTAAATTCACGTCTGTACAGTAGAGGGCGCAGCTCAAACTAGTCACATGAAGAATATGACGCAGGAGAAGAAAGTTCAACACTATTCAGCAATAACACAAATGATACACAAATGTCATTTTTGCTTAGTATGGATGAATTGGATCATCGAAGGTCAGCAGCAAAGACATTTGTTAATAAAATAGGATTAAATACATAAATCATATTTGTCTTATTTAACATATTTAATTATTGCAGGTTTGTATAATATGCTGAGTTTGCATTTGACTGTTTTTATTGATTTTGAGGAACACTGGATCTGTTTTTGAGTAAACACATGTTGATATTTAGTCTAGAGCTACAGTAAGATCATGTTCACACACAACGCTCTGCACTTACTCCTGATTTCTGTCACCATGGCAACACCAGAGCTGTCACTCAACACATGGAAACAAAGTAACTGCTGTTACTTATTTGAAAAAGTAACTCCGATATTTCCTTCTAAATTAAAAAGTAATGCGCTACTTTACTAGTTACTTGAAAAAAGTAATCTGATTACATAACTCGCGTTACCCCAACACTGTTAACGAGCTCTCAATGCAGGTCTGATTTGTGTGTTGAACTTCCTCGTGGCGCTGATCTTTACGCTGGGATCTGGCAACTACTGGCTGGAGATCTTCAACAGTTACGTGGGCTCCATCCCACTCCTCGTCATCGCCTTCTGCGAGATCATCGGCGTCGTCTTCTTCTACGGGATGAACCGGTCTGTAAACTCACTCAATACAACACAATCTGACAGATTAAAGCCAAAACAGCTGCTACCATTAAAGGCTTGAAGATCACTCAACGCAAACATGTAACAATTTTCAAGCAGTTCATTAGAGCAGGGTTTGTGAGTTCATGAAAATAGCTAATAATTAATAAAACCCTAAAAATATAAATAAATTAAAGCGAGACACTAACATTTAAATGAATCATAAAAAAATCTAAATCTAAAATAATTTTCAAATACAAAAATCACTTAAATGTTAAAAACGCTGAATGTTAAATTGAAAGGAATTGTAAAAATTGAAATGAATAATTTTTAAATATAAACAATCAAAATAAAACACACTTAAAATGAAATCGTTAAAATGTAAAATTAAAATACCAAACACCAAAAATTAAAAAAAGCAAAATTAAAATAAATAATCTTAAAATACAAAAACAAAAAATGCTTACTAAAATTAAATTATAGATGTTAAATTAAAATGAATAATAAAATAAAAAATTAAATGTAAAATTAAAATAAACAATTTTAAAACCAAATCAAAACACTTGCTAAAAATTAATTAAATCATTAAAAATAAAAGTATATTATTAGTTCAAATATATAAATTTTATATTATATATATATATTTTTAAATAAACACTCAAAATGCAATAATTAATAAAAACCAAAGCATAATTTTTTTTTTTTTATAAAAACTAAAATTAAAATATAAAATTAAAACAAATATCAAAGAAACTAAAAACGCAAAAAATGTAAAAAGATATATAATTTTAGAACAATTAAAATAAAACCTACTAAAAATCAAATCATACAAATTTTAAAAATTTAAAATAAAAACAATCAAAAAACACTACTCTTAAAAAATAAAGGTTTGTTTTTAAGTGTACAATGAAATCATAAAAATTAAAAAAAATTATCAATATTAAAATGAAACACTTTCTACAAATAAAATTATAAAAATGTAAAATTAAAATAATTCTAAAATAAAAAAACTAAAAAGTTTAAATCAAAACAAAAAATGTGAAACATTTTATTTGTTTATCTGCATGTCACATGAGCATGTTGATAAATTATTGAAATATGAACTTAAAATCTTCAAGTTTGGGAATCAGTATGAGATGGTACATCGAGAGAGATGAATGGAATAAACATCAGTGTTTGTGCAAAAGACTGAGCGGCGTCTGCTTGCGTTTCAGGTTCAGTGATGATATCGAGAGCATGACGGGCCGCCGGCCGAACCTGTTCTGGCGAGTGTGCTGGATGGGCATCAGTCCCATCATGTTGCTGGTGGTTCTGGTGGCGTACGTCGTGGTCCAGGTCCAGAAACACCCCACATATCCCGCCTGGAACCCAGAATACGTGAGTCTGAAGCACAGCCACACACAACACAACCAATAGCACCCAGCATCCTTACAGTATAACACAAGGCCGTAACCATGTCTTGACGTTGTGCTCATAAGTTTACATACCCCTTGCAGAATGTGCCAAATGTTAATAGTTGAAACAAAATAAGAGGGATCATGAAAATTACATTGTTTATTTAAAACTGTCCTGAATAAGCTATTTCACATAACAGATGTTTACATACACTCCACAAGACAAAATAATAACAGAATTTATAAAAATGACCCCATTCAAAAGTTTACATACCCTTGAATCTTAATACTGTGTGTCATTTCCTGGATGATCCACGACTGTTTTATTGTTTAGTGATAGTTGTTCATGAGTCCCTTGTCTGTCCTGAACAGTTAAACTTTCTGCTGTTCTTCAGAAAAATCCCCCAGCTCCTGCACAATCTTTGGTTTTCCAGCATCTTCTGCACATTTGAACCCTTTCCAACAATGACTGTATGATTTTGAGACTCATCTTTTCACACTGAGGACAACTGAGGGACTCGTGCATAACTATTACAGAAGGTTCAAACCCTCGCTGATGCGCCAGACGGAAAGATCATGCATTAAGAGCCAGGGGGTGAAAACTTTTGAACAGAATGGAGATGTGTACATTTTTCTTATTTTGCCTAAATATCTTTTTTTTTTTTCATTTAGTACTGCCCTTCACAAGCTACAGAAGTTACTTACATGTTTCCCAGAAGACAAAATAAGTGAAATTGACCCTGATCTTCAAATTCAAAGGTTTACAACACATGCTGTGCTTGTTGTGGTGCAGGAAAACTTCCCGGAGTCGGAGGTGAAGCCGTACTCGGGCTGGGTGTTCGCCGTCTGTGTGCTGCTGAGCACCGTTCCCGTTCTCTCCATCCCCATCGTGGCCGTTTACAGACTGATCCGACGGCAAACACGGCCGCAGACCGGCAGCAGTCTCCCAAACCCCTACGACAACCAGGCCTTCAGCGCCGGGACCATCAAAGCGCTCTAGAGACGGAAACAAACCCCTGCAGGACCATCGCAGGATTTTAATTTCAATCCAACATTTCCTTCAGGAAGAAACACTGTTTTTAGGATCTGAACTCTGAAATTTTATACGACTTCACTGCATCTTTACATTATTTAAACTACTAAACAAAAAAGAAAAAAAAAAGATATAATTGAAAAATTTAATTTGTTCATAAAATTTTTTCCCCTATCAATTTACCTAATGTTTTATTTCTAAATAGTATTACTACCAGACCAAATCTTTAAAAAATATATTACAAAAAATATTTGAACGGTACGATTTTGAATGTTTTTTAAAGTCTCTTCTGCTCATGTTACACAGCAGCAGTCCATGAGTTTTTACACATTTTCTGCTCTGATCTGAGGGTCAAATCTGCTAAATATATATTGAACATGTTAATTGAGCTGTAATTTATTGCACTTTTTTTGGTGCTATATATACAGTGCACAGCATAAATGAGTTCACCCCCTCTAAAAGTTACCAGATTCAGCAATTACTCTTTACTTAGAAGACATGTAAAAAAGAGTGTATAGGTTTAAGGCTATTTTTGATCAACAAGTATATTGAACCAAAACTTTACTAATTTCCTGACAATTAAAAGTGTTATATAGCTCACTGAATCATGCTCAGACGTAATGCCGGCGGCAGTGGAACCACTCGGGAGAGAACTGCCAGGAGACTTATTTCTTAGCATTAAAGAGGACAATGCTACAAGAGGAATACCAAATTATTGTTTTAAGAATGAATGAATGAATGAATGAATGAGCTTTATTGCCAGGTATGTTTACACATACGAGGAATTTGTTTTCGTGACAGAAGCTTCCACAGTGTAACAGAATGACAGTGACAGAACAAAAAACACAGATAATAAAAATAAAAATAGATAGACAGATAGACAGAAGGATAGATAGATAGACAGAAGGATAGACAGAAGGATAGATAGACAGAAGGATAGATAGATAGATAGATAGACAGAATGATAGATAGATAGATAGACGGATAGATAGATAGGATAGATAGACAGATAGACGGATAGATGGACAGATAGATAGACGGATAGATGGATAGACGGATAGACAGATAGATGGATAGATAGATAGAAGGATAGATAGACAGACAGAAGGATAGACGGATAGATGGATAGATAGATAGACGGATAGATAGATGGATAGACGGATAGACAGAAGGATAGATAGATGGAGATAGATAGACAGAAGGACAGATAGATAGATAGATAGACAGAAGGATAGATAGATAGATAGACAGAAGGATAGATAGATAGATAGATAGACGGACAGATAGATAGACAGAAGGATAGATAGAGATAGATAGATATAGATGGATAGATAGATAGACGGATAGATAGATATATAGATGGATAGACGGATAGATAGATAGAAAGATAGATAGACAGAAGGATAGATAGATAGATAGATAGATAGATAGATAGATAGATAGACAGAAGGATAGATAGATAGATAGACAGAAGGATAGATATAGATACATAGATAGAAGGATAGATAGACAGAAGGACAGATAGATGGATGGATAGAGACAGAAGGATAGATAGATAGATAGATAGATAGATAGATGGATAGATAGAGACAGAAGGATAGATAGATAGATAGGATAGATAGATAGATGGAGAGATAGATAGATGGATAGATAGACAGATAGAAGGATAGATAGATAGACAGACAGAAGGATAGATAGACAGATAGATAGATAAGATAGATAGAGAGAAGGATAGATAGACAGATAGATAGATAGATAGATGGATAGATAGACAGATAGATAGAAGGATAGATAGATAGAAAGATAGACAGAAGGATAGATAGATAGACAGAAGGATAGACAGAAGGATAGATAGACAGAAGGATAGATAGATAGATAGATAGATAGACAGAATGATAGATAGATAGATGATATATAGACGGATAGATAGATAGACGGATAGATAGATATAGAAGGATAGATAGATAGACGGATAGATAGATAGATAGACAGAAGGATAGAGATAGATAGACAGAAGGATAGATAGATAGATAGATAGACGGACAGATATAGACGGATAGATAGATATAGAAGGATAGACAGAAGGATAGATAGATAGATAGATAGAAGGATAGATAGATAGATGGATAGATAGAAGGATAGATAGACAGAAGGATAGATAGATAGATGGATACAGAAGGATAGACAGATAGATGAATAGATAGACAGACAGAAGGATAGATAGATAGAAGGATAGATAGATAGATAGATAGATAGATAGACTGAACAAGAATACACATCTGTGGTGATCTAAATTTATTTTCTGTGCTGAAATAACAGATTTTAGTTTATTTACATAACAAAGGTTTATTTAGATGACAGATGCATCAACATGCAAATATCATAGAAACATGCAGCACAACAACAGAAATGAGTGTCTGAGCTGCTGAACGCTGTCGTTGTTTTACGAGCGTCTCTTATCTCCAACCATTTAACGACAATCATCAAGCGTTTACGAGGTGCGTGGATCTGTTTAGTCAGCTGCTGCGGAGCGAAACTCGGGCGTTCACCGCTCTACGTCCGGATGCGTTTAAAGTCCTGAGGGATTGTGGGAGTGGCGGCCTGACGCACGCGGGCCAGTCTGATGCCGCGCAGCTCGCGCTCCAGACGCCGCTTTCCTACACCAAACAAAGAGAACACCAGATTACTCGCTGCCAGGGGATTTTCTGCTTCATGCTTCAGAACCTCGTTTGAGATGAGAAAGACGACTGCAGACCAAACGAATCAAATCATCAGCGAAGACGAGCGTTAACATCATAAACGCCCACCGCCACAGGCCCCGCCCACTTTTCCTGGAAGTATTTTTCCACTGCTTTGCTCCATAAGCATAAAACAAGTCAAATAGACAGTAACAAATATATGAAGTGATTTAGGATTGTAAAGAGACTCGCTTATGAGCTGGCAGTCGCTCATAAACGCTCTAAAGACGCAATTTCTGTCTGCACTGTAACAGAGCACTGTTTCTCCTTGTTTAGGGCTTTTGAGGGAATACGGCTATTAAACATGCCTAAAAAACTAAAAACTATTAAGAAACATTTTTGTCAACTGAAATAAAGTAAAAAAATATATATAAAATAGATGAAAACCTAAAACTGAACTAAAATAAAACAAAAAATAAACTTAAAAAGTAATAATTTTTTTTACAAAAGCACATAAGATGAAAAAAATGAAAATATAGAGTAAAAGTTAATTCAAAGCAAATTATAATAGTATATTAATAATACTAAAATAACTCTAAATCCCACTGATTTATCAGTTTTTCTGCCACGATGAATGGGAGTTTTACAAATGTAAATAAGCTTGTTATCACAAACTAAAATATTTAAAGACATTTACGTTAATTAAAATATAAAATGTTAAGGGAAATAATATATAAACACTAAACAGTTTAGACTCGTTTCATTTCAGTTAGTTGTAACATTTCATTTTTGTTTAGTTTAACTTGATGTACTAAAACAACTAAAAATAAAATAAAATTGAATAAAAATCTAAAAGTAAAACAACAACAACAATAAAAATAATACATAAAAATATACTAAATATAATTAAACAGTAAAATTACTAAAACAAAAACCTGAAATAAAATTAATTAAAATAAAGAGACATATTAACAAAATAACCAAAACAATCTATATTTTACATTTTCATTTTAGTGTATGTTTTAGTTATTTTGTTTTCGTAAATAGGTCTATTTACTTTTTATTTCGGTTTTAGCCATTTTAGTACTTCAGCTTAAACTATATTTTCCATTGTCATATTAATTTTAGTGTAAGCTGAAGTACTAAAATGGCTAAAACTGAAATAAAAATTAATAAAAAGTAAACGGACATAATAAAAAGCTAAACTAAAACTTGTGCTAAAATTAAAATGGAAAACGGTTTAAGCTGAAGTACTAAAATTACTAAATAAATAAAAATTGATAAAAAAGTAAATGGACATATTACAAAAAAATAATAAAATAAAATAAAAGTGGAAACTTAAAGCAAAATAACAAACTTCAACTACATTTACCATTTTAATTTTGCTGAAATACTAAACTATGACTGAAATAAAAATTAATAAAATTAGACATACCACAAAAAAAACAAAAACAAACATACGCTAAAATTAAAACAGTAAATCTAAAAACTACATCAAAAATATTCTTAATTACACCAATACTATAGCATTAAACTAATATTATATTAATGATACTAAAATAACACTTCTACTATTATAAATGACATTATTGCTCTTACAGTCTCTCTAACCCATAATGCAACTGTTTCCTCCTCATTCCCCACCAAACGACAGCCTGAAGCACAGAAGGGACTGAAGATGAGCATCTAAAGCAAAACGAACGTACGTTTGTGCAGCGGAGGAAGCAGGCTGCGGTAAAGCGATCGGTGCCGCGTGAAAACCACCTTAAACGCCAAACAGAACAGCAGCTGAACGGCTTCGTACTGCAGAAGACCTCCGCCGTCCGGAGAACCCAGAACCAGACCTGCAGGAGAGACGAACTCATTCAGACTCGCCAGTGAGGCGCTGGGGAGCGCATTACAAGTTACGCAATCAGATTACTTCAAGTAACTAGTAAAGTAACGCATTACTTTTTAATTTAGAAGGAAACATCTGAGTTACTTTTTCAAATAAGTAACAGCAGTTACTTTGTTTCCATGTATTGAGTGAGAGTTCTGGTGTTGCCATGGTGACAGAAATCAGGAGTAAGTGCAGAGCGTTGTGTGTGAACATGATCTTACTGTAGTTCTAGACTAAATATCAACATGTGTTTACTCAAACAGATTCAGTGTTCCTCAAAATCAATAAAAACAGTTGAATGCAAACTCGGAATATTATACAAACCTGCAATAATTAAATATGTTAAATAAGACAAATATCATTTATGTATTTAATCACATTTTATTAACCAATGTCTTGTGTGTGTGTGCGTGTGAGTGCGTGCGTGCGAGTGAGTGAGTGTGTGAGAGAGAGAGAGAGAGAGGGTGTGTGCGTGAGTGCGTGCGTGTGTGTGAGTGCGTGTGTGTGAGAGAGTGCGTGTGTGTGAGCGAGCGTGATTTAATCCCATTTTATTAACTAATGTCTTTGCTGCTGACCTTCGATGATCCAATTCATCCATACTAATAAGCAAAAATGACATTTGTGTATAATTTGTTATTGCTGAATAGTGTTGAACTTTCTTCTCCTGCGTCATATTCTTCATGAGATTAGTTTGAGCTGCGCCCTCTACTGTACAGACGTGAATTTACATTTCATTCAGCCTGAGGCGTATTCATTTCACTTTTGGCGTGAAAGGGCTTTTACGTTTGTAAAAGAGGAACTTTTTTTATATTAAAAACAAACTAGCAAGCCCCGCCCAGATTTAAAAAGTAACTCAACAGTAACGTAACTCATTACTTTCCATAAAAAGTAACTAAGTAACGTAATTAGTTACTTTTTAGGGAGTAATGCAATATTGTAATGCATTACTTTTAAAAGTAACTTTCCCAAACACTGTGTGTCTGTGTGTGTGTGAGTGAGTGAGAGTGTGTGTGTGTGTGTGAGTGAGTGAGTGAGAGTGTGAGCACACGCGTGAAACCTGACACACATTGACAAACAGCAGCGTCACTCGCTCTGCTGTGTGGTTGATGGTTACTGCAGCTGTTTTCTGCACTGAATGGAATCTTTTGAGTTTCACACAATCATTCACCGGCAGACATTCAAACAGCACAGTCTCAGTTACTCAGATCATTGTCGTTAAACTTTTGCAGAAAGAAACAAGACAAAACAACTAATGTACACTACTTTAAAGGTTTGAGGTCGATAGGAGTTTTTGAAAAGTCTCTTCTGCTCACCAAGGCTGCATTCATTTGATCAAAAGTACAGTAAAATTGTGAAATATTATTATGATTTAAAGTAGCTGTTTTCTATGTGAATCTCTGTTAAGCTGTAATTTATTTCTGTCGTCTGCACTGGCATGTTTGATCAGATTAATGCGTCCTTGATGAGTAAAAGTATTCATTTCTTTTAAATATCTTATTGATGGCACACGTTTGTGTGTGAAGTGTTTACCTGAGCGCCTGCAGCAGAATCAGTTTATATAAGCTCCTGTAGACAGCTTCCACTGAATTCATCTGGAGAAACAGCAGACATACTGACTCCACTAACACAGGAGCACAGATGAATACTAATGATTTCTGCACAAACTGTAACAACATTAGTGCCGCCCATTTGAAAACCAATCAAACCGATACAGGCTGTGGTGTTCAGGGCTGTAATGAGGGTTCAGGGTTTGAGCGTCATTAGCACTCATTTCACGTCTCACCCTGAGGTCCAGAAAGATGTCGGTACACTTGAGACTGAGGACCGACAGCAGCTTCTTTATGACCGCGGTTGGCGAGTGGGCGGAGCCAAGGGTCAGGCTGTAGCGCAGCGATAGGCCGTCGTACCTGAGGGGGCGGAGCATAGGTCAATTATGCAGTCATCTGTAAAAAATGATCGTGAATTTAACAGTAAAATGCTACAGTAAAAACCTGTTAAATGGTTAACGATAAGTTCCCCTACTGTATACGGTGAAAAACTGTATTGGACATTACATGTAATTTTATGGTAGTATACCGTTTTTTGAAGTGAAAAAGAACAATTTACAGTGAATAACCGTAAATTGACATTCCCAGAATTCCCTGCGTTACATTTCAAATTTGATGTTTTTTTTGTTGAAATAACTTTCTTCTTAGTTTTTTCTTATCTGTTGTGTATATTAGGGTTGTGTGTTACACCTAATGTTGTTAAATGAATGTTTATTGCATTATTTCAGTTTCATGTGAGTTACCATGATGGTGTTTAACGTTTGTGTGAATGACACTGTGCACCTTCTATATATGTTATTATTTAAAAGCTGCTCGTGATGGGCTTTGGTTCATCATGTGACTTTCTCATCACCTCCTGCATTTGGTGGTTATCAGTGTATTACAAAGGTACAAAACAGATTTCAGTACTTCAATAGGTTGGTATATTAACATTATATCAGTTAATGAAATCACGGTATTTAGCTGTAAATTTAATTTAAAACCGTAAAACCAAAAATGTTGCAACCGTACTTTTTACGGTAAAATTCTGGCAACCACCGCTGCCGTTTTTTTTACGGATTTTTTTTTACAGTTTGTTTAAATGCAATGACATTTTTGATGTTAAATTAAATTTGACGCTAAAATACTTAATAGTTTTACTTCCATAAGTGTTTTTATTATTTTATTTGAAGTCAGTTACCATTAGTTGCAAGTAACAAATAAATCTTAAGTTTTTTTTATTTTATTAGTATTTAACTCTTATTTTTAGTTTTTATTATATTTAACAATTTTTTATCATTTTTATTCGTTTTTGTTGTTTTTTAAAAATATGTTTACATAGTTTTTATTTAATTTTATATCAGTTTTAGTTTTTCAGTAAATCAAGTTAAACTAAATGAAAATAAGAAATACTGCCTTTGGCAACTAGCTGAAATAAAATCTTTTTAAAATCTATTTTATTTCAGTTAACATTTATTACATTACACTGGTGTTCACCTAAAAATTAACTTTAGTCCATGTTTTACTCACCCTCGAGGCATTCTAGGTGTATATGACTTTCTTCTTTCAGACGAATACAATCGGAGTTATATAAAAAAATATCCTGGCTCTTCCAAGCTTTATAATGGCAGTGAATGGGTGTTATTTTTCAACAGTCCAAAAGAAGTCCAATAAAGCGCAAGCTAGAGATTACGGTTTATAATATGGATATTTTTCTTACAAAACCACATCGATTTGCTACAGGAGGCCTTTATTCACCCCCCCGGAGCCGTGAGGCACATTTTATTATGGATGGATGCGCTTTATTGGACTTCTTTTAGACTGTTGAAAAATAACACCCATTCACTGCCATTATAAAGCTTGGAAGAGCCAGGATATTTTTTTATATAACTCCGATTGTATTCGTCTGAAAGAAGAAAGTCATATACACCTAGGATGCCTCGAGGGTGAGTAAAACATGAACTAGTTTTCACTTTTGGGTGAACTACATTGGTGGCCATAATGATTAGAACACTAGTAATTTCACCAGCGAAAAATGGTTTTAAAGTCAGTTATTTATATCTTGTGCTGTAGTGTGTCAGTAGGAAATATCTGTTTACATTTCCAAACATTCATTTGGCCATTAATTGTAATAATGCAGTGAGATTTTTGTGCTCCGCACAGAGATCTGATCTGATCATCATCAGTCTGTCTGGAGTGACATGAAGAAACAGAACAAACTGAGACAGACTCAATCCAGAAGAACTGTGTCTCCAAGACGCTTCAAGGAACCTCCTGCAAAGCTACAGTTGTCACAGATCGGCCAGGCTCAGCCACCACCCAATCACTGCGAACACCATCACCTGAGTACTGATTGCACGCACCTGTTTGGAATTTGCACTCTCATCAAGACTAATACAAAAGCACACGCCTCACGTCACTCCAGTGTCTGGTCTCGTTCATACGAAGTGGACTCTCTATGCTATCCGTGCGATACATTGAACTACCTACCTGCCTGTTGTACTTACCTCCTGTGTCTCCTCCAGTGTGTTCTCCTGTGTTCCATTCCTTCGTCTGTTCCAGTGATCATCTCCGTGGATCTTCTCAGTACTCGTCATCTGAGGTGTGTGCTGTCTTCTGTCTCCCTTCCACGATCTCCTGCGAAACCAGAGACTGTCTTATATTCTCCATAAATTCAGAGAACTGCTCCATTGCCTATAATACTCACCTGCCATTACCATCTGCATCACTTGCTGTTAATAAACAACCAGTTTGTACTCTAATCCTCTTTGTGAGTCTCCTTCCGTAACATATATGTTTTATAAATACTATATAAATAGTAGTAAACAAAAAACTAGTTGAATCTCAATGTTTGTTTCATTTTCAATTTATTTTAAAACAAACTACTGTCAATGAGTGTATATATTTTATTTAAAATAAAAATATTTATTTTTTTAGTTAGTTTTATTTTTTATGTAATTTTTTTTTTTGACACCCCTAGTTACTGTGGATTTGCTGCAGATTTGTCCTTTTGATTTCCACTGGAAAAAAAATAACTGTGGATTTGTAGTGAAATCAGGGAGTCACAGTTAGGCTTTTTTTGTTTCATTTTCACGGACTTTTAGTTTGCTTGTTTCTCTTCGGTTACGTGTTTCCTTCTAGTTTCCCGCCTCTTTCTGTTGTTATTGAGATTCATTTAACAAATACAGCTGTCTACATGTAGTTCATTATCTTTGTGTATTTAAGTCTCTCAGTTTGTTCCTTCATTGTCCAGTGCTGGTTTTGTCTTCTGACTATTTAGTTTGTGATTACATTTTGAATCGACCCGTGTTTGCTTTATTTAGAAGAACTGTGTCTCCAAGATGCTTCAAGAAACCACCTTTTGTTCTGTTTCTTCATGTCACTCCAGACAGACTGATGATGATCAGATCAGATCTCTGTGTGGAGCACAAAAAAATAACTGACTTAAAACCATTTTTAGCTGCTGGAAATACTAGTATTCTGATAATTTTGGCCACCACTGTAGTTCACCCAAAAATGAAAACTAGTCCATGTTTTACTCACCCTCGAGGCATCCTAGGTGCTGACAGAGATGAGACCGGAGCAGAATAACGCCAGAGATCAGAGTCAAGCTGGAATGCATATAAAACCCTACGGATGACGTCTCATCAGTGCACAGATAAGATAGCGGCCCTCCCTGATTTACAGCCTGATAGCAGCAGTGATGGGCGCATCTCATTACCATTAGGGCTGTCACAAAAAAAAAAAATTGCAAAAATGTTGCATTTGAATTTTAGGTGTGCATCAGTGGCGCACAAAATGCGATGACTATGTAGGTGTCGTTGCATTTTAATGCTTTTTTTAGCCTATTCAGTTGAAGCCACTAGATGCGGCGCTGCTACGTTGTTCATTCAAAATATTGCGGAAAAAGAGAACATCAGTGCGGAGAAGATCTTGTTTACATCAAAACTGAAACCAAGCCGTTCACACAGAACGCATATTTATCGCATCACTGTTGCACTCGCGTCTCGCACAAGAGAGACGCATGTTTAGAAAGCCATGTCAAATTAATATAAGTTCAACTTTTAAAAAAACACGTCTCGAGACTTCATGGCGGTTTTTCCCCATCCCACTGCATCTCATGTTTTTAAATGAAGAAAGCACTCTTTGTGATTGGTTTTCGGTCCTTTGTATTAAACTATACATATATACATACATGATGCTGTTTTGTTTCAAATTGTTTAAGCAACTTAATTAATTATATACGGTTTATAAACATTATTATAAAACGGATAGTTCCGGTGCTTGATTCTGATTGGCTGAGCCGCGTTCGAAGCTGTTGTAAATTACTCTACAAAGTAACATACACCTTTGTTTACTTCTGTGTGTTGCTCGGCAACCACCACTGTAAACCACAGCTACTTGGGGCTTATTGCTTTATTTTAATAAACATTATGCACTTTTTTCAAAGATAGTCGTGTTATTTTATTGCTTTGAAGAAACGTGCATTAGTAATATTTTGCTCGATGCGCCCTCTGGAGAGAAGCCAAAAGCTTTTTTCCCCCCTAACTGAAATTATCCCTTTTAAATTCGAATATTGATAATATTTTAGTACAAAATACGAATTTAGTTTTTTAGCCATTCTGACAGCCCTGATTACCGTGAGTAGTCCTTGTAGACGTCCAGCGAGTGCGTGTCCAGCAGCAGACCGCACCAGGGGAACAGACAGCAGGAGGGCAGGACACTCACGCCCGAGTCCAGCCACTCCACACACACCGGGAAGTTCACCGCCACTTTCTGAGGGTTGATCTGACAACCGTAATCGGGAACGCCAGCCAGCAGCATCCTGACAGACAGACAGATGAGTGAGTGAATGTGTTTGGATCCAGGGCTGTAACCACCATAGACATCGAAGGGGACAAGTCCCCCCAATAATATTTGAAACTCTTGCACTGATCTGCTGCACTCCATTAGGCAGCGCTCGTCAGTGTCAAAATAATTGAGATAGCCAATCGAATCAAAGTAGGCGGGCTTTACTGTTCACAGAAGCAGAGCGTGCATTTCAGTATGAATCGTCAATTTAATGTTTTAATGAAAGAGAACGAGGTATAATGGAAGTTGCAAATCATTTAATATTAGTCAACTGTTTTACTATAGAACTGTTTAATAGCCAAAAGCTTTATCCAGTGATGCAAACTACTTGACCTGACAGTGAGTGAGCGAGACAGAGAGAGATTGAAGTTGCATGTGTGTGATAGTTACCGGAGTCTGTGCGTCTCTACAAACATTGAAGCTGTGAGTTTTACTTCAAAATCAGCGATTTTACCCCCTCTTTGCTGAGAGATATAGTGTAGCGATTCAGGATTCAGTATCGCTAAAAGTCAGCATGTTTCTGAATGTAATGTTTCTGTGCGCGATCTCCGATCTCTGTGCGTCAATGAAAGCAGCGCATTAATATAGAATGGGAATTAAACTGACTTGGAGTTAAATGGTTTTAATGCACACCTGCATATATATATATATATATATACTGTATATATACATACAGGTGCATCTAAAAAATTTTTTTTTTTAAATTCTAGATTCATTGCATGTAAAGTAAAACATTTCAAAAAAAAATTTTTGTTTTAATTTTGATGATTAGAGCTTACAGCTCACGAAAGGCAAAAATCCAGTATTTAAATATACTTTTATATTGCAATAATTTCACATTCAATCTTCAAATTAATGTACAAACAACAAAGACAGTATATTTTAAATATTTGTTTAATGGCATTTTCTCTCAACTTTCTTCACCTTTTCTGACCCACTTCAGGTCTTAAAGTCGACTGACGAGTTAAATCGGGTGTTAGATGAGTGAGAGTTTTGAAAACCATTTCAGAGACATGTTCTTAAATCTGACTCATATAAAATATATTACATGCATGCACAGTTTTAAAGCAGCTTTAATCGCCTTTTTGGTAACTTCATGACTTAACCGACCACGACATTGCATGCACGTAGTTTCATTCGCACATTGATATGAAAAGATACAGGCTACAGAAAGTGGCGGCGCGAGCACAGTACCGTTTCTGCTCGTTTGACTCGTGTCTGACGCTAAAGTGAAGCTGGAGCGCGTCTGAAACGTCTCCCGTTTGATGTGATCATAAAGACGTTCTGCGACTGAATAAATGCACTTCTTGTCAAGAAAAAAAATAGGCAAAGGCACCAGTTGTGAGTGGCGGTCAACCCTGGCCTCTGCGTTAATTGTGTTTAGGCTTGGGGATCGAAAACCGGTTCCATTTTAGAACCGGTTCCAAATTTCCAAGAACCGGGTATTCGATACGA